ATAAACATCAAACATTTATTTCTCAAGTTCTAGAAGCTGAAAGGGGGAAGTCAGGTGTCAGCATGTCCAGGTGAAGGTCCTCTTACAGGTTGCAGTGTGTTCCTATATGGTGAAAAGGGCAAGCTAGCTCTTTGGAGCCTCTTTTTTAAGGGTACTAATCATATTTATGTGGCTTTCCTTAATGTCCCAATCACCGCATAGAGACCCCATCTCCTAATACCACCCTGTTGGACATTAGGTTTTCAACGTATGAATTTTCGGCGAACACAAACATTCACACCGTAGTAAGCATCCTTCATATTTGTGGTATGAACACACATGTATCTCAAATATCTCATCTAAAATTAGTAATGTGTATAGTGGGTAATAGGCAAATATTCTCTCAAGATATTTTGTTTTCTTTCATATACCTTCTTTTGTCCTGTTATGCCATTTCTGATCCTTTTTTTAATGGCTACCAGGTTTCAGGGAATGCACATCATAAAAAAATCAGTAATTTTTGTTTCAAAGGTAGAGTTATAATACCTAATAATTTTGAAGAATTTAGAAGAAAAGTGGTAGAAAATTGCCAGTAACTTAGGAACAATATTACAGAGTATCAGCACCAAGACAAAATACTACTCTCCTAGTATTTAGTATTTACTTAAATAATAAAATAATAATAGAAAATAATATAAATTAGATACAAACATATGTGAATGTTCATATATACAAATATAAATGCAAAATAGGGAATTTTTACTATGCTAAAAGTTACTTAAATAAGTTATCAGACTTGAGCATCACTACAACTCTAAGAGGTATGACTGTTTTACAAACTATAAAACCAAGCCTTAGAGAAGTTAAATTAACTTGCCATAGTTCATGTATTAGGAGTGATATTAGGGGTGAATGAATAATTTCTGCAAGCATTCTTAAGGTGATGAGTGCCTGGAAAAATCCCAGGTTATCCATATTTTCCTGCCATGATAATTAACACTATTTCTTTTTACTGTCTGTGTGCCCGCGTTAGACGATAACTTACTTAGTCAAGCCATAAATAATGGACTGAAGCATAAGAAGAGTATCATTACATATTGTAATAAAGAATTACTTTTAGACTGCAGAAGGATGCCTTTCTAATTTTCTCATAACCTGAGGATGCATGCTGTGTCTTCTCAAAAAACAAAATGTCAACTCTGGATGTAGCCTGCAGAACTAGAGGAAACTTAGTGTTACCTGATTTAAAAGTAATCTTCACTCCTGATATTTGTGCTGAGATTGTGTGTGTGTGCATGTGTGCATGTGCATCCACCTGTCACATGATATTCTCTTTCATAGGCTCATCTGAAACTTGGTCATTATACTAATGGGAAGCACTGAGATGAGTTTTGCTCTTTCTTTTGAGAAGACATTACTGCAAAGCAAGACAATTCCCTTGTAAATAAAAACTGGATACTTCAGATAGTTTCTTTAATTAAAGTGAAAAGTCGATTAATTCTACATCTTCTCAGAGTGTGGGAAAAAAACAAGATTTTTGAACTATGTCCTGCTCTAAAATGCCCTGTGGATATTAGTTTTACAGAAAAACTTTCTCAGGACAAGTGTAAATTAATGCCTAACTAGTAATGAAGTAGATGTCTTCATTTGTCTAATTATTTGTGCCTTCTAGGGAACATTGAAAGATAACATATTTTATGGGAAATTCTGTCATAAATATCCATTAAATTTCTTAAGTATTGTTAGGTGGTCCTGTGAGACATAATAAGGTTCCTTTCACTTGAAATCAGATGCTGATAACTTGCTCAAATGTACCAGCTGGATTGTGTGAAATATATGTGTTTAAGTAGGTAAAAGGTCATTAATAGGTACATGCAAGCTGCAGTAGAAATGACTTTTAACCTGTCATGCTACTCCCCCAATCCCACCCCCACAGTTATCTTACCTACCCCCCTCTTTACAACCATACACCTCATTCAGCACATTTACTTCTTAAAAAAAGTCCCTTCCTTTTGGTGATACTTCTTATTTCCCTTCTGCTCTGCCAATTCCTTCTGTATCTTTCCCCACTCCCCTGTTATTGTTGTCTTATATTATATGATCCAAGCTTATATTGTTAGCATACTCCTTAGTCATTCTATATACTCTAAGGCCTCAGACATTATCAATAGGCAAGTGACTCCCAACTTTTTATCGGTAACTTATTTCAACATATTTTTTGAATATCCATTATTTTCCTTGTATACTGTGGTCAGATGAGAGTATGACTATTGCCTAGTAGAAGAAATATAATAAATCAATAAACTGCCCAAATAAAATAAAAATATACCCATAATTATGATAAGGCCTCTGAATAAAAATTATAGTATAATTAACATCTTGGAATCTTAGGACTTGAAGTTCAAACTGCTCCTTTGAACTGGATGTGGTCATTTTGGCCAATTTGCAAATGGGCTAATGGGGAATTTAACAAAAATATTCTGAAAATGGACAGTGCTTATTAGATGACTGCATATTAGTCACCATTAAAGCAAGCAACAGTGAAAACCCTCTTTCAAGCTCATGTGTTTTGTAAGAACGAATGAAAAGTACTGCAATTAGACCAAAAAATGCAAATTAAGGGGACAAAAAAGAACTGAGTCTGATTTGTCAGAGAAAATAATGACAAAAGCAAAGTCTATTATAGGAAAAGCTTTAGAATGAAATCCATGAAAGTAGCAATATGAACAAGGGGAACAATAATCAGGGAGGGAAAACTGGAACAATTGGATGCTTCTTGGGGCTCAGGATAAATTACAAGGCCAATTCTTACATAATGACAGTCAATACTTGATATTTGGAAGGTCTAAGGCACCCCTCCTTTTCAACAAAGTCACATGTAATAATAAAGCAATTGATGAGAGGCTTACATACATTTGCTAAAACCCCAAGGGGAAATTTTTTCCCTCTCTTATCCTAACTCTGCTCATATAATATGTTGAAGCAACTGCAAAAATAATTTTATTTTATATGTAACAATTTCTAGTTTGAATGGCTTTCATTTAGCATATGATCTGCTGAAATTAGCATTGTGGTAGACACAGGGATGTGTCACCATAGCCTTTTAAAGAATGGGTTTGCTGCTCAGCTCTGGAATAACGTCAGGAGACCATTTCTGCCTGTCAGCTAAGGGTTTGCTGCAGCAGCAGAGGGCTGAGTCACCCAAGGGCTGAGTCACCCAAGGGCTGACTGGATAAGGTGAGGGAACAAAGAAGGGATTCATAAACTTTCTCTGTAAAGAGTCAGACAGTAAATGTTTTAGGTTTATGCGGGCTACAGTCTTCGTCACAACTGTTCAACTTTGCTGTTGTAGCTTGAATACAGCCAGAGATAATAAATTACGGATGAACATGGCTGTATTCCAATAAAATTGTGTTTATGGACCTTGAAATTTGAATTTCATACAAGTTTTACATTTCACAAAATATTATTCTTCTTTTGATTTTTTCCCAATCATTTCAAAATGCAAAAACCCATTCTTAGCGTACAGGCAATACATATTTAGATGGCAGATTAGTCATAGTTTGCTGAAGGTCACATCCCTTTCACCCTAATGTGGGACAGTCTAACGGGTGATTCGTGCTCCAGAGCTCCTCACCAATTTCTTTGAGGGTTTAATGGATACATGGTGCCCTTCGACTTCTTTCTCTGTTCAACCTGCTTGCTCCCCTTCCCCTTGCAGCTGTTGACTCCTAAGAAATATCTTGCATTCCAAACTGTTTCTCGGCCTCTGTCTCTCTACAACTCAACATGAAACTCACATGAATTGATGTGTTAGGTGTTTTCTCCTCTAAAAATGGGCAGCTTTAATATCCCATTTTTATGACCATCGTTGACTCAGACAGAAATAAAGAAAGCAGAGCAGCTGTGTGCATGGAAGTCTAGGGAAAAAGGAGAACTAGAGATAAGGAAGGGGCCGGTAAGCTCCAAGCCCTAGATTGGATTTCATATATTGTTATTTACTCACCTGACTATACCCTGTTCCTATTCATTGTAGACCCATCTAATCAACTCTGTTTTCTAGTGGACTGCCCTTTATGTTCTTTATGTTCTACCTCCATCAACCATCTACCTCTAGCCACTTTTTATTAGCCTAAGTGATCTCAGTTACTATTAGCTCAGATAAAGTTTATTTTCCAGTAATAAACTTCCTTATCTTCCCATAATCCTCATTTATACAATTAGGTCCCCATTCTACCCTGCATGTTTCCTTTATCCCACCCTTGGCATCACATTGAAGCCCTTATGGATCTCTCTACATGTAGCCTATCAGTGCTTATCGACTATAAATTGTATTCCAAGTCACTTCTTGCTCTTGGCTATCTGCCATTTGGAAAGTATCTGATGTGATTTAATAACGTATTTAATATGGACAGAAGTTTTACATTTGACCTCTTCTTTATATTAGCATTCAAATACTTTATAGGAAAAAAAATTCCACTACTAGAATTTCGGGCTATGTGCAGGTAGCCGGAGGGGTAATTTTGAGTGTGGAAAGTTACCTGGTGACCCTCATTCAGACCACATGGAGGACTTGCCAACAAGAAAGAATAGTCCTGCCATCACACAGTATCTACCCATAAATTATTGACTCTGAACTCTGGATATGATGATCGTTTTATTGGTAGCCACAAATCAGACATACACCTGAAAATGGGTTCACTTTCAGCATACCAAAGATCACTTTAATCAAACGAAGAAACACAATTTCAAGTGATTGCTACTTTTATATCAGTTTTCTTCATTCATTGATTCTAAAGAATGAATATGGATGATTCCCAAATCATTGTTCACCAAAAAAAAAAAAAAAATTAAAAAACATTGTTTGCTTTTGCTACCATCACTTACTACATGATAGTTTTCATATGTCCTTTGCTTCATGGTACCTGTTATTAAGCATGTGTTCAACTCTATAATCTGTCTACCTCTTTTTTAAATTCTACTTAGTCAATAGCACAAAAATATTCAAGGTGTGTACTTACCTACTCATCTACTTTTGTGCATCAACTCATCAACATTTGCAGTTATATTTTTTCTCATTTGTTTTCCGCAGAAGTCCTCTTCCTCAAGCAAATAATGTTACCTTCCTAAGGTAAAAAGAAAGTTTGATTGGCAGCTGTGGCAGGAAACCATTTAGAGGGTCAAGTAAAAAGGCATATGGGAATATGAAAATGAGAAGCAATACTGTCCTGTCTCCTCACATCTATTGTTCCCAGTTGGCCAGGAACTCTTTAGTGCATGTGAGAATCACTGTTGAATTCTGGCACTTTCTAAACTTGATATAATCTATGAAATTCTGTCCCCTATCAATGCAAATAGAAGCAGTACTAGCAAATGTATAATACTTCCATAGTAGATTTTGGGGGGTGGGGGGAGAAAAACATAAACCTTTGTCATAAGGAAGACTTAGCATTTTAAAACTATTTATTTATTTGTTTGTTTAAAAAGTAATACCTATTTATTCTAGAAATCAAAAACATACCAAAGCCCAATGAAGGAAACAAAAAATATCTATGACCTCATAATAAAATGTATACTTTGTGCATATGTATCTGTGTGTACATATGTGTATTTACATACAGAATGGAAGTCACTCAGCAAATTCTTTTTTCATATTGTAAACTGGCCTACCCTGAGAAAATGATAAACTTATTTGCGTATTATATCTTGACAGCTAATTAGAAAGAAGAAATAAGCCTATCAGATTCTTTCTAATACTTTTTCCCATTGGTTGTAAATCTATGTTAACCAGTCATAACATGCCTATCATCCGTTTTCTGTGGCTGGAAAAACATGCTTCATTAGGGCAAGATCAGCCACATATAGGATCATTACTTTCCCAAGAATGTTAAGCACAAGTCAGGTGTTTTGTGACTATTTGTGGGTGAATATGGATGACTGATTGCAGTGAACTATCAATTGCTCAGTGGACCAGGAGCTGATACAAACTTTGTAGATCCTGAAATTTATACAATCAGAGACACTCTTTAAGAAATGCAATTAATATATAAATAAATATAAGGGACGAATACACAATTACAGAGCATTGGAGCACACGTGTGCCTCAGTCAGTTAAGTCTCCTCCTCGTGATGTCCGCTCAAGTCATGATCTCAGGGTCCTCAGATTGAGCCCTTTGTCAGATTCCACACTCAGTGGGGAGTCTGCTTGAGCTTCTTTCCCTCTTCCTCTGTCCCTCCCCACCCCCGACTCACACACACACTCTCTCTCTCTCAAATAAATAAATTTTTAAAAAATCACAAATCATCTCACAAAGCCTACAAAAGAACCCTTGGCAAGAAAGGATCCTTGAAGCTTAAGCATTATTAACTCTTTGATAAATTCATCCCTGCCTCCATTGTACTTGGTATACTAGTTTTTAGTATTTCTGTCTTGACACAATCTGTCTTGGTCCATTTTTTTTGTCTTTGTCTCTGGATTTTCTAGTTATAAGATACAGAGTTCCATTGAGCCTTCTCGTTACTGAGTGCAGAGATTTTATTTCATAAGAATTTGATTTGGGCCTTCCTCGTATTCTCCTCCTTTGAATTGCTGTATATTTTTATATGCTTCATGATTACTGTTTCTTCATGGTTATAAAAGGAATTGTATGCTCATATAGTAGTAGAAATTGAGATTAAATCTCTCAGAAATTCTATTGTTTTCTGTCCTGAATCTTTAACACCCATATAAGGTTTGAAGTGCTTGTATAGAACAGTGTTATTTTGTCAGCATCCTATGCTTGTTTGTCTTCTGCATCATTAGGACATTTTGGCACTATCTTGGACACAATGCTCTCACTCCCTGCTTTCTGCATGACATTGTTTTCCCGTCATGAGCTAATTAGGGAGTCATGACATTATGTCTTTTTGTTTTCTTAGAGAAGCACTGTCCAGTAGAAACATAATGTGAGCACTAAGGGAGAGCCACACGTATAAATTAAAATGGCTGGTAGTTGCTTTTTAAAAAGTAAGAAAAAACAAGTAAAATTATTTTAATGTTATATTTCCCTAATCAAAATGTTATCATTTCAAAATATAATCCATATAAAAATTATTGAGATACTTTAAATTTTGTTTACATGCTATTTTGTTGTTGTTGTTTGTTTTGAAATTTGGTGTATTTTTCACTACGTTAATTGCTTCCAAGTGCTCAATAGCCACAGCAGGTTGTGGGTACTGAATTGGACAGCACAGGTTTTAAATTCCTTATGTCAGCTATAGAGAGGTAGCATCGAGCTCACCTCTGGGTGAGTGATGTATTCTCCAATGTGTTTCCAATGCCCTGGGGTAACGTAGATGGTAAAATCTACCTTCCCTTTACGCAAACATGGTCTTTCCCTAGTAAGAGTTTTAGCAAGTTCATTCTATCATAATGTTTATTTAACTCCCCAAACAATAGCCATTCTGTTTACTATAGTAATTTAAAACTCCGTTTAGCCCTTTCTTTAAACTGATGCTAGTTGTATTGCATTGGTAGTATTCTTGTTTTCTTTTTTTTCTTTTTTCAGTATCTAGCACAGAACTGCCATTCTTTCTTAGTTTCTAGAACAGATGCTGATTTTTCTATATTTCCATGTAGTTTATTATTCTTTTTTTTATTTTTCAGTTCCAATAATAATATCCAGCTTTTAAAAGGTTAAATACCTGCATGCAATTTTCATCTTACCCAGTAAACCATATGAGTTTACTTTAGAAACTCAAAAGAGATAACCTGTATATATTATAGAAAAAATATTTCTTCTTGAAAATTATTTACTGTGAAACCAGGTGCCACTAGAGAAAACGAATCAGTGTGTGCCAGGCATATCAGCCTGTGGTATAGAGAAAAGCAACAGATAGCAAGATGATAATTCCAATTATGAAAAGAAATTTTGTTTTTGATGATGTTAAATTTTCTAGATTTCTTAACGTTAAAGTTACTTTCAATATAGTACATTTTATTTAACACTCTTTGACATAGGGATGCCTGAGTGGCTCAGTGGTTGAATGTCTGCCTTTGACTCAGGGCGTGATCCCAAAGTTTCAGGATCGAGTCCCACATCGGGCTCCTTGCATGGAGCCTGCTTCTCCCTCTGCCTATGTCTCTGCCTCTCTCTGTCTCTCATGAATAAATAAATTAAATAATAATAGTAATAAAAAACACTCTTTCACATAACGTGTTTTTAAGACATCTAGGGTAATACTTTCCTTCAGAACTTTCAATGTATGCATGTGTGCGTGTGTGTGCTTCAAAATATAGAAAAAGCTAGGGCAGCTCGGGTGGCTCGGCGGTTTAGCGCCTGCCTTCAGCCCAGGGCGTGATCCTAGAGTCCCCAGATCAAGTCCCACATCAGGCTCCCTGCATGGAGCCTGCTTCTCCCTCTTCCTGTGTCTCTGTCTCTCTCTTTCTCTGTGTGTCTCTCATGAATAAATAAATAAAATCTTTTAAAAAAAAGTTACATATACTAACTGACTTTCAAACCAAATATATGTTCAGTGCTTGGAAAATACACTTGAAATTGTTGGATGTCAGCTGTCCAATAACATAACCAAAAGGTTCTTGGGCAATTATCTAAAAAATTCATTGAATAAGTCTGTATGTAGTTATAAAATAAAAAAATATTATTGATAAGTCCATATTTTATTGCCATTTATACAGTTCATTCTATGTGTGTAGAACAGTTTACAAATCATCGTATGTAATGTGTGCCATAGCAGTTTGAGTTAGGTATCGTCCCTACTTTACAAATAAAATTAAAGGTTACTAAGAATAGGTATCTTGTTCAAAAATACAGAACTCATTAAGCATTTCACTTCTATACTTAAGCCCAGAGCTCTTCCTAATGCACATTTTGTTCTGAGCTTTTTTTTTTCTTTCTTCCTTTTTTTGAATAGTTGCAGTGATAAAAGAAAAGAAGACAGGCGTTACTTTCCATTGCCCTTATTTACAAATTGGCTGAAATCGTGGTGTAGAAAAATGTGTAAATGGAGCATGGTTAAAAGAAAGAGAAACACACATCTAGCTAGCAACAGGGGGTATATTAATAACAATATTAATGACAAAACAATGCATTTTTGTTACTTCTTACATTTGAATAAGCTTTTAAAGCATATTCACAAAAAAGCTTTTAGAGAAAGGACACCTTGACTTCAGGAATGTTATTTTTAAGACAGATTAGTGCCCCAGAAAAGGTGGTTTGGAAATCTCCTTCACCATTTTCTTTCCTTGTGCCCATCCTGTGCTGGATGTACATTATTCAGTTGGGGTCAAGATGTATTAAAATGTCCTTGATTTTTATCAATGAGTCAGATTCATATAGTAGCATACCTTAAAACCACTCACTAATATTACTTAGTGAAAGATGTAGAAATTTGAGTGGGGAAAGAAATTGGAAATAATGGAGGAATTAGAAAAGGAAGTGGTGAAGGACAATAAGGGGAAAAATAAAAGGATTTGGCTTGATAACAATACAATTGAAAATGACCCAAACTCCGAAGTTTGGGAAAGTGTAATCAGATCCCATTTTCTGTCAAGACATCACTTACCATTACAGAGGGGTTTACATCTCCTTCCAATTATCATGCATACTTGTGCTCCAGTCTTGCCACTTTAATTTTACAAGTCAGTGGGCTAACAATTATTTTAGCTGCTTTAATACAGATTGTTTGATGCCCTTGGTGTGACTCACGGGTAGTAGCGAGGCCTATGACAAATTCTCCATTTGTTTCAATTCCTGCGGTGGATACAGGGATTACTTGCCAAGGCTGCTAGCCAGCCTCTCCCTTCCTACAAAAAGTCAGGTCATCCACGATGACCATTTCTTCTTAGGTAACTAGAGGCAGAGAGAAGTACAGACAACCTGACCATGAACTCTTCAGCCAGTAACGTTACTCACCAGCATGGAAGTCCTCTTATTTTTCTGTAATGAAACAAAACAGTAGTTTTAAATTACCAATTGCCTCTTTGTACCTCAAAATGTTACCTGACCTGTATTTTCAGCACAAAAATTTCATCAGTTTGTATAATAAGAACTCCAGTCTCTAACAGAAAGTTATAGAAACTCTTAATGGAATTTGGGCACTAATCTATGTTCAACTGTGAAGAAATTCTTTCAGAATTGAAAATTACAGCCATATTAATACATTTCTCTTGTGCTGTGAACAATAAATGCCAAGAGGCTTTTTCCCCTTTAATGATTAACTGCTTTTTGGAAAGTACAGCCATTTACCACATGCAAATTTCTTGCTTTGTAGATCAGATGTGACTAAGAACACTAGGTGGTTGCCTCTTGTGAATAGATTTAGAAAGTACTAATTATAAGACTAACATACCACAATCATGCTTAATTTGTGTAACTCCCTTAATGCCAGATGAGTGAACTCTGTGAAGCAAATTGAGATAACAACAATAGGATTTTTACCTTTTGTCTATTTACTTTCTTACAGGATAAGATTGACAGCAGGGAATGAGAAATTTTGAGTATATAACACTTTTAAAAAATTATTTGTTACACTCAGGTAGAATTTAGACGTTTTATATATCTTAAATTAAAATGGCTTTTAAATTTAACTGTGTTTTTCAAAGTAACCAGATGGATAGTCAGTGTTGATGATTAGAATGGCTACCTCTATCAGAGTTTTAAATATTATTTGGTCTCGTGTCCTTTTTTTAAAGGTTAAATACCAAATATATAAGTATTCTATGTTAAAACTAATAAAATACATGCTAGAAACTAAGTATATCTGAATAGAATGCAAAATAGAAATGTTACAGATTTTTTGTTAGAATTTTAGTAATTATGTAATTCCATCAGTTAAAAGAGGGAAATGAAGGTATAAAAAAAAAAGGTCCTTATAAAATCTTTTTAAAAAAATATGCTGAATTGTAGTTCCATCAATGTAATTTCATGTTTGAGCATCAGGAAAACCTACCAAAAATCAGTTAATTGGAACTTGCAATTCCAAAGAAAGACAGATATGCTAAAATTAATAGATTGTAGAAATGAAAGAATATGATTTATTTAAAATAAATTAAGGTATAGATTTTCATGTTATGGTAAAATTCAAATAAGCACATAAAATTCTAAATGCATATTTCAACAGAAGTTAAGCTCTAAGCGTGGACATATGCCAAGCAGGCTTTTAAAAGCAATAAAAAGTAAGCTGAGCAGTTGGCCAAAGCAAACATACAATGAGACAATCTTAAAAATTAACTTGAAAAATTTGACATTTAGGTAACATGATAAAGATGATGATTTCCAAATAAGAAATGACTAAAAATAATAATATTTAAACCAAATCATAATAATTGTGCAAACGAACACACATACACATATTTAAAGTACCTTCTCCTATGGCGCTTAATATCTTTTGAGAAAAGAATTCAGGGCACCTGGGTGGTTCAGTGGTTGAGCATCTGCCTTTGGCTCAGGTCTTGATCTTGGGATCCTGAGATCTAGTCTCTCAGTGGGCTCCCCGCAGGGAGCCTGCCTCTCCTGCCTGTGTCTCTGCCTCTCTCTCTCTTTCTCTCTCTCTCTGTGTGTCTCTCATGAATAAATAAATAAATCTTTAAAAAAGAGAGAGAGAGAGAGAAAAGAATTCAACTCCAATTACATAATGGGATATCTTATCAAACTACCACATTGTTGTAATGCAAATATATATCTTTAAATGTTCCTGTTCTTAAAGACTGCCAACAGATCTGGTGTTTCTGCTTTTGTTTTTGTGGGGGTTTTCTGGTTTTGTTTTGCTTAGGTTGCATCACAAAAAGAGATTGCCACATAAAAGAAATATTTTTAGAAATTACTTAAGCTTACTTATTGGGAGAAATATATCAAAGGCATATCTACTTAGTACACATGAAAACAGAGTCTAGTATATGTTAGATACTCTGCTGGGGTCTGAATGCCAGAAAGAACTAAAACAATATACAATAGATAAAATGTGTTGGGTAGGAAATGTGTTGTCAACCTAAAAACAAGAGACAAGTTCAAGTGGCAAAGTATTTTTTGGAGGGGATCAAAGAATTACATTTTGGAGTAGACAGATTTAGGTAGAAACCCAAGTTGTGTACCAATTACAGTAGGTGGACCCAGGGTTTTTTCATGGGTGGGGGAAGGAAAAGAAGATTCAATATGTTGTTTTTAAAAGTTCATTGGTGGTGAAAAGCAGAGTTAGATTTCCACTTCATTGATTGGTCAGGCTCATGGTCACTGGGCAAAAGTTCATTTTTATCAGTCTTTTCAAACAGGAGTTTCTTGTCCTTGCTGACATTATCGAGATGATGCTGGTTTGGCCCAGTGAAAAGTTTTGAAAACAGAATGTGCAAGGCAGTTTCTGTGATATGGCTCCTCCAGTTTCATTTAAAATTGGTTCTGCTTACGTCGTTTTTCGCAATGTGCCAGCCATTATTCTAAGAACTTTATACATTTATTTCATTAAATTCATTATCTCTTCACAGCAATTCGGTATGTAGTAGGTGTCACCATTTTCATATTACAGACTAGAAATTTAAGACTGAGAGGAGTTTATGACTTTCCCAAGATAGGCATCAAGAATTATCCAAGATAGAAAATGTAGGGTCCAGAAACACGGTTTATAATTCCAAGGCAGAAAAGTTTAGGAAATAAAGGATCTAGGCAAATCTGTTGAGAGTACAGCTATGAGTTTGGAAGCATAAATCAAGAACATTATTAAAGTCTACGAAAATTAAACTCCTTTGACAATATCATTATAAACTTGCCGCTAGGAAAAGGTCAATTTGAATGTTTCGAGAATTTTTTTTCCAGTCCACTAGAGGGACTAGTATCCTTTGACTATGTGCTGTCTCAGCAAGCTTGTCCTCCTGTAGTCTGCTGAAAGTCATTCCAGTTTCTAGGAAATCATTAATGCCAGGTGCCTACTGTCTCTCAGTAGTCACTTGTGAAATGTCAAGGTTCTTTCCAGTCTGGTTTAAAGATCGAGGAGGAAAAAAATAAAAAAAATAAAAAAAAATTAAGATTGAGGAGGAAGAAGGACAAAGGATTACTGACTCTAGGTCATATAAAAGGACCTCCTGGAATCCACCAGCCAGCTTGCAAGAGAATCAATATACTTTTATGACTTCAACTCACTTACCCTATTATACTGGCCCAACCCTGGTTCATTCCTTAGATATCCTGGAATTTGAGAAGTTACTGTAAGCAATTACAAACACTGTGTCTTCTACAGCTTGTTACAGCCACCTTCTCTTTACATCTGGCCTCACATTTCCGCTAATAGATTCATTTCTTTGAGTTACAGCACAACGATAGGGCCATCCAATTGTCTCTAGATGTGTTGGTTAAAATGGACACATTTTGAAAGATGTGGAGAAAGTCCTTTTACTCCTATTTCACAGGGTACCTTTAGAATTTTGAATAAATTACTTGATTTTTTAAAGATTTTATTTATTTATTCATAAGAGACACAGAGAGAGGGACAGCGACACAGGCCCAAGGAAAAGCGGGCTCCCTGCAGGGAACCTGATGCGGGACTCGTGATCCCAGGACCTCAGGATCACAACCTGAGCCCAAGGCAGATGCTCAACCACTGAGCCACCCAGGTGGCCCAAATTATTTGATTTCTTAATTTCACTTCGCTATACTCCACTGAAATAATAGGAGAAGGTGATCTGTTCATGTATTTTAAAACTGACATAGCAGGAATCTGTGAGGCTAGAGAGTAGTAAACATGAAGGACCCAGGATACATCATTTATTTACTAAAAAATGTATTAAGCAAGAGTCTCTTTATAATTTGTCAGGGAAATACATAGCACAAATGTTGATGGATGTGTCCTGGATGGTTTCGTAGGTAACATGTAGAATGGGAGGAAGCAAGCATAATGACTTTTGTTTCCTTTAGGTATTAGATTCTTAAAGATAAAATAAAGAAAGCTGGAATCTTTCATGTAATAATATGGGATGTCTGCTGCTTCTCCACACTTGCGGAAAGGGTTTTATTCATCTACTTGTAAGACATGAATAGCTTTGGGAATGCTTGAGTCATCATGAAGTTGAACTATTGCTGGACAGTATAGGCAGTAATATTTTATTTTGTTTTTATGGGCCATACTTCTGAAATAATTATTAATAAACAACTTGCAACTTGAATGTATAGGAATTATACCCAAAATTTGGACTGCAATACCACAAGTTACAATTGCATCATTTTGTATAGGTTCTGTGGTCATCCTTCCTATAGAATTCCATGCTATACCATGTCCTTTCTATAACAGTTGACATTTGGGCACACTAGTTTTGGAAACATGCTAACATTTAGTTATGCTTTCTTTTAGTTAGTCATTTTTTCTTAAATCTATTATTCATATTCTCTTTTTAATAAATATTTTATTTATTTATTCATGAGAGACACACAGAGAGAGGCAGAGTCATAGGAAGAGGGAGAAGCAGGATCCCTGCAGGAAGCCTGATGTGGGACTCGATCCCAGGACCCCCCGGGATCACGACCTGGGCCAAAGGCAGACGCCCAACCACTGAACCACCCAGATGGTCCTCTATTATTCATATTCTGAAAATGTGCCACTTACTGAGAGACATTCAACTCCTTCCTCTTCTTTTTATTTTGATTCATTCCTTCCCTCTTCACTTTGTTTTCTCCCCTTCTTTCCTGCTTTTGCCTTCTCCTTTCTTTTGGCAAATAGAACTAATTCTTGAATTTGTGAATAACTTACACTGAGAAGTAGAGTCAAACTTTTTTAGCAGACCTCAATTAGGTGATATTATATTGTGTGTGCCTCAGTAAATATCATTCTCTTTATTTTTCCAAATCCAAGTTATAGCTTGATTGTGGTTATTGTTTTTATTATATAAAAATAGTAAATTATTCACTTTCTATAGTTTCATTGCATCTCAAGCAGATCTAGTTTTATTTACTTTATAAATAAATGGACTATTTCACGTGGTCCACCCACTTTTTATATAGAAACATTTTGCCCCTAATTTTGTCAGGTTTTTTTTTTTCCATTGGGCACACTTTATCACAGTAAACTCCACCACTTTTTAATGCATAGTTTTGAGAGCATCAGCAAATACATGTTTGTGATAACTACTGTAACAAAATACACAATAGTTCCCCCTGCTGCAAAATTCTCTGTGCCACCATACACTCAATCATTCATCCTATCCTCAGCCCTGGGAGCTACTGATGCCTCGTTTTGCTTTTGCAAAATGCAATAAAATGGAATCTTACAGTACCTAACTTTAAATTTGGCTTCCTGCACTTAGCATAATTCATTTAAATTTTATTCATACTTTTATATTAATAGATGGCTACTTATTCTTTTTCAAAGCTAAGTAGAAATATTTGTATTGATGTACCTTGGTTTATCTTTTCTTAATTAGTGATATTTGAGTTGTTTCCAGTTTGTGCAATTATGACTAAGGCCTCTATAACACATGCATACCAGTTTTTGAAGGACTAAATTTTTGTTTGGATAAATTCCTGTGAGTCAGAGTGTTGGTTCATATGGCAAGTGCTTAACCTTATAAGAAACTCCCAAACAGTTTTCCACAGTGGTTGTACCAGTTTGGATTGTATGAAAGTTCTGGTTGCCCTGCATCCTTGGCAACTTTTGGTGTTGTCAACTTATTTTGATTTCAGCCATTTTATTAGATATGAAGTGATATCTCACTACGGTTTTTATTTACATTTCCCTAATGACTAATGATATTGAGAATATTTTAAAATGTTTATTTGCAATCTATATTCTTTTATATATAAAGTGTGTGTTCTATTCTTTTGAGTTTTGAAATCTGTGTTATTCCTTTTCTTATTAAAGTATTTTTTAATGTGCTCTGGAAAAGGGAGTATGTATTCTGGGAATTAGCGTTAATGTGCAAGTTTTCTGCCAGCCTGTGACTTGTCTTTTCATCCTCTTAACAATAACTTTCTTGAAGAAAAAAAAATAATTTTGACAAAGTTAATTTTTATATTTTTTCTTTCATAGATTGTACTTTTCATTTTGTCTGTAACAAATCAATACCCATCTGAGGTGACACAGATTTCTTATATATTTTGTACTAGAAGATTTAAGTTTTACATTTTACATTAAGATTTCTGATCTATTTTGAGAAAATTTTTGTGTAGGGTAAGAAGTGAGTATTGAGGTTTGTTGATTGCATATGGATATGCAATTCTTTCAGCAACATTTGTCAAAAAGACTATTTTCTCACTGAATTGCCTTTAAGTCTTTGTCAAATATCAGTTCACTCTATTTGTATGAGAATTTTTTTAATGAGTTCTCTATTCTCTTTCATTGATCTATCCTTTTGCTAATGTCATATTGCTTATCATTAGAACCTAAGAGTAAGTCTTTAAATCTTGTAGTGTGAGTCTTCCAACTTTGTTCTTCAGAATTGTTTTGATTGTCCTAGATTTTTTACCTATGCCCTTAGCTCTCTTGGGAATACAAGAAAATTGTGAATTTTTAGATTATCTGGTATATTTTTGTCATGTGGATGGGAGTGAAGCTTTTCCTAGACTTTTATCCTAAGTGGAAGCCAAAAG